ATCATTTAGTCTAATAGAATTATCCATAAATCTAATAACAATCTTCTGACTCATATCATTTCATATAACATTCAAGTAATAATCTAATGCTTCTTTGTACATATTTCTTCAATATATATTTACTTAATTCTTTCTTACACCAAAGATTTTTCCTCCTCTCTTAAATGCTTCTATTGCTTCATTTCTTCTTCCTTTCTTTTTCATTTCTTTTCCTTTAAAATACCAATTTTTTCCATCACTTCCATTATAATACGTATTTCTTATTGTAAATGATAATGTTGATTGATTTAGCTGAATGTATTGAGTTCCTTCTAATATATATCCATGTTTTTCAATTTTAGGAATTGGACTAACTATCATTTCATTAGTTCCACTTCTTATTTTTTGTATTTTTTCAATTAACTCCTCACAACCCCATCTGTTTTTAGGGTCTTGGTTCCAACACCCTTCAATAATTGAATAAATTCTACTAGAAATAACAGTAGTTTGTTTTGGTCTTTTTCCTTCAAGTATGAATTGTTTAATTTCATAACTTTTCATCCCACTAAATAATTCTCTTTGTGAAATAACTTCATATAACATCATTCCAAATGAATATATATCACACTCAAATCCATACATTTCCATTTTCATTACTTCAGGTGCCATGTATGATATAGTTCCAACACCACCAGTCATATGATTTTCATCTTTTAATGTGGAACTTCCAAAATCAGTTAACTTTGCATTAATATCAACAACTTTTTTTGTATTAAATAAAACAACATTTGCAGGTTTAATATCACGATGAATAATATTGTTACGATGAAGAAATTGAATTCCTTTTAAAACATCAATCAAAACCTTCATTTTAATCTCATAATTCATTTCTTTCAAACATTTATCAAAACTACCACAAGGAGCAAGTTCCATGATAATGTGAATTGTTGCTGAATAATAAACCATTCCATAACACTGTACTAAAAATGGATTTCTAAGTGATGTAATAATTTGTAATTCCTTTTCTATTAATTCTAAAGATCCATTAATTCGTTTTATAGCACATTTCATTGAATTATAAACACCTTCAAAAACAATCCCAAAACTTCCATGTCCAATTTCTTTTTTTGCATCTAACCCCTGTATAAACTGTGGATTAATCCATAATGAAGGCTCACTAGTAAATTTAAAATAATAAGATTTCCATTGAGTTAAATTTAAAAAAATAAAAACATAACAATCTATATGACATGAACAAAAAGGTTTAACACAAATAGTTAATTCCTTAACTTCATTAGGTTGAAGTAACAATTTACGAGGATGAAAATCTATTGAATACATTTCATTTTGTATACCTTGAACAGTAATAACTTGAGGTAATTGAGTTTTATTGATATACTTTGAAACAATGATTGTTTCTTTCATTACTATAAGTTGTTTTTCATTTTTTATGACAATCCTCTGTTCATTACAACTAAACTCTTTTCCATCAATAATTATGCAATCCTCTTTTTTTTCTTCAACTGAATCATCCTCAAATTCATTAAAATCAAAATCTTGACCATTCATTAACACTTTTTCTTCAAAATAATTTTTTTTAAGTTTTTTTATTATTTATATAAAAAGTGTTTTATAAAACGAAATAATTATTTAGTAAAACAACAAAAATTATTTGGTAAAGTTTTTTTATTATTTCTTATAAAAAATATTAAAATAATTATAATTATTACAGTTTATTAAAGAAAGAAAACAAAAATTTACTTGTTCTTTATAATTTAACAACAACTTATAGGCTTAATTATAAGTACTATGTAATAGAATCTATTTCAATTTCATTAATGGTATTACTGCTGTATTTGAGCTTGTACTTAAATACGT